GTGCTGCTGGAGGTTCTGGAGCTGCTGGAGGTGCTGCTGGAGCGGGTGCTCCTACTGAGGGTACTGGTGCTGTCCCTGCTGCTTCTGGCGACGCCACGCGGCCTCGACTGTACTTCGTTCCACTCCTGGAGCAGGTTCTTGGTCTTCCACCTTCTGCTGGTCCTCCTCCTCCCTTAGAGTGTCCGCAGCCTGTCCAGCCACAGTTTCAGCTGCAGCCTACCTCCCCTTTGCCTGCTCCTTCTCCCTACACTGGTCCTACTGGAGCTCTTGCTGAGCGTCGTGAGCCTGCGTCTCGCCCTACGTTGCCTGTCCGCCCTGCTCGCGCTAGTGGTCGTAGTTCACGTTAGCGTCCTCCTCCTGTCCCTGGTACGCACCGGATGTCTTTGTGTCCTTCCACTGCTCCTTTGCGTGCCCCTTTGCCTTCTCCTCCTGAGTCCTCTCTTCCTGCTCTTACCGACTTGAAGGCGGACTCTCTTCGTGCTGCCAGTCCTACTGTCACGCGTCTCCTTGCTACTGTCGTCACTGATCCTTCTTTTGAGTCTACTGCTGCATCTTCTCTAGTTGCTGAGCTCGTCGACTTAGCTGCTCGCTGTCGCTTAGACTACGCTGCGAGTCTTTTCGCTGAGTCTGAGTCTGTCTGTCCTCCGTCCGTCGGGGGTGAGTGTGCCCTTGGCACGGACGTCCTTGAGGACAGGCAGGAGGAGTTCCAGTGTCTGGCAGCTGCTTCACCTCATCTCGTGTCCGTACTGCTTACCCCCGAGGGAGACCCGGATGCACTTGACATCCCGACTTTGCGCTCTTACGCGGAGGCTATAGAGGGTCCCTACTCCTCACAGTGGCAGGCAGCTATGGATGCAGAGATGGCTTCCTGGAAGTCCACAGGCACCTACGTTGACATTGTCCCCCCTCCTGGGGCGAACATCGTATGTGGCATGTGAATCTTCAGGGTGAAGCGGCCGCCGGGTTCTCCGCCTGTCTTCAAGGCGCGTTACGTGGCTCGTGGCTTCAGTCAGCGGCAGGGAGTCGACTACTTTCAGACCTTCTCCCCCACCCCGAAGATGACCACTCTTCGGGTACTGCTGCACGTTGCTGCTCACCGTGACTACGAGCTGCACTCTCTTGACTTCAGCACAGCTTTCTTGCAGGGCAGCCTGCACGAGGAGATCTGGCTGCGTCGCCCACCTGGCTTCACTGGGTCTTTCCCTCCTGGTACCCAGTGGAGTCTCCGGCGTCCAGTCTACGGTCTCCGCCAGGCGCCACGTGAGTGGCACGACACACTGAGGACTACGCTTGCGGCTCTTGGGTTTGCTCCTTCTACTGCTGACCCGTCGCTGTTTCTGCGCACCGACACCTCTCTACCGCCGTTCTACATCCTCGTGTACGTCGACGACTTGGTCTTCGCCACAGCTGACACTGCTGGACTCACTTACGTGAAGTCCGAGCTGCAGAAGAGACACACGTGCACAGACCTGGGTGAACTGAGCAGCTACCTTGGCTTGCAGATCACCCGGGACAGAGCACGCCGCACCATTACCCTGACTCAGTCACACATGGTGCTGCAGGTCCTTCAGCGCTTCGGCTTCACGTACTCCTCGCCTCAGGCCACTCCTCTGCCTACTCGCCACTCGCTCTCAGCTCTGCCTTCGGATGAGTCCGTAGAGTCGAGTGGTCCGTATGCAGAGCTTGTTGGCTGCCTCATGTACCTGATGACCTGCACACGACCTGACCTTGCATACCCTCTGAGCATTCTTGCACGCTATGTTGCTCCTGGGAGACACAGACTAGAGCACATGGCTGCAGCGAAGAGGGTATTGCGCTACCTGTGCACTACGTCGGGCATGGGGCTAGTGCTTGGAGGGCGGAGTCCAGTGGTCCTTACTGGGCACGCGAACGCTTCTTGGGCTGAAGACCAGGCTACACAGCGGTCGTCACAGGGTTACACCTTCAGCCTTGGTTCCGGCTCTGTTTCGTGGCGGGCTACTCGCTCGTCTTCTGTTCTCGGCTCCAGTTGTGAGGCTGAGATCTACGCCGGGGCCATGGCTGCACAGGAGCTTCGCTGGCTCACCTACCTGCTGAGCGACCTTGGAGAGCCGCCTCGTTCTCCTCCAGTCCTGTACGTAGACAACAAGGCCATGCTGGCCTTGTGTCGAGAGCAGCGAATGGAGCACAGAACGAAGCACATTGCTCTCCGCTACTTCCTTGCTCATGAGCTACAACAGCTTGGACAGTTGCGGCTTGCGTACGTGGCCTCTGAGGCCAACACTGCTGATGTCTTCACCATGGCACTTGCGCCTTGTGATCATCAGTGCTTCTGCACTCAGCTGGGTCTTGTGCCCGTCTTGCCTCACTTGCTCTCCTCTTGACCTTGCTTGTACTCTCACATATATGTATACCTGCTCTTGCTTGTCTAGCTTTATATATATGTGTGTACTCTTGCTTGTGAACTGGCCTTAGTGGCCTTGACCTTGTGCTCAGACTGTGTGGTGACTTTGTGATCCACCCTGAGCTTGCTTTGCTTTGCTTTGCTTGACTGGTCTTGTGACCCCTTGTTCTCCCCCACTTTGCCTATGGGGGTGTGTCAGAACATTATAGCTTATGCTGTTGTGTAGGCTATAGTGGGGTATCCCATAGGGGGTACAACCCATTTAGGGTTTCCTATATGTACCCACTTCATTCATAGTTGATGCATTCTCGTTCTCATTATCACATACTGAACGGGAATTAATGCATTGAGTAGGAAGTTGGTACAAGTATTAACCCTAATTGGGCTGTACTCCTTATGGGCTACCCCACTACAGCCTATACAACCTACACATTATAATAGTTTGACAAGGCGCTCCCTGCGGAGAGTCACTCTACAATGGTCGTGAGCTAGACTACGGGGTGTTGGCACAAACTCTTAGGAGTGATTGTAGCTTTGCTTAGTTCCTTAGCACTTACGTATTCACGGGAGAAATCGACAAGAGTTTCCACTAGCAAAGTTGGAATTACAGAACAATAGAACAAGCATTTACAAAAATGAATACATCAGACACCTAGCAGCTCTGCAGCTAGCCTGGTCGACCGCCAGCACAGCATGGTCGACCGCCTGCCAGCGTTGCGTAGAGGAGCCGCGTCAGCACTCCCGAAAGGCGACTTGCGAATACAGTAGGTTGACGGCATGCCAACGCTACAGCAGAGCGGCTGTCCAGCATTGCACCAGTAGATGGCAGTAGTGCGCATGCTCGCAGGTGCGTGCAGACGATTGGCCCGACTTGCATCGTTGTGCATCCGTCGCCTATTGTCTGTGCTTGATGAGCCACATCGACTTTGGGATACCAGCCCGAAGTCGCCTTTGTCACCGCGACCTCGAGGACGTTTGCGTTCCTCTGCAGAAATCGCAGAGCAGGTTACATGGTCGGCCTGGTCGGCCACCAAGTGCTCTGGTCGACGCCACAAGTGCTCTCGTCGACCACAGCTCCGGTCGAGGAACACCCTGGTCGATGGATCCCTCTGTCAACCAGCACTGTCAGCTGCTGTCGCCGAGCTCCCCTCGTCGACTGCCACTCACATGTCATACACAGGTCGACGGACTGCTCCGTTGACCTCCCCATCGAACTGCTCCTCCTGGTTGACGGCCCCGCCCGTCGACCAGCCCAGTCAGCTGCATGTGTCGAGCTCTCTGGTCGACAGCTCCAGCCTCGTGACACCCCTATGCAGGTCGACGACCACTTCGTTGTCAAATTATAATGTTGTCTAGGCTTTAGTGGGGTAGCCCATATGGGGTACACATTTCTAGGGTTGCATATTTGTATCACTTTCATTCCATAGTCATTCATTCTCGTTCTACTTTCCTCATGGTATCGAGCAGGTTCCCCCGTGGGAACTGTGCCTAGGGCCCACCACATCGATCTTTTTTTTTTTTTCCCTGCCCGAAGCGCGCTCAGCCCGTGTCGTGCTCCGGGCTCTCACCTCTTCGAGCCACCCTACTCAGCGGCCCCGCTGCCCTTCTCAGCGGCCCCGGCGCCCTTCGCTGCGGCCCCGCCGCCCCACATTGCGGCCCCGCCGCCCTTCTTCGCGGCCCTGCCACCCTTCGCTGCGGCCGCGCCGCCCCTCGCAGCGGCCCCGCCGCCCTTCTTCGCGGCCTTGCCGCCCTTCGCTACGGCCCCGCCGCCTCACGTTGCGGCCCCGCCGCCCTTCGCTGCGGCCCCGCCGCCCGTTCTCAGCGGCCCCGCCGCCCGTCTCAGCGGCCCCGCCGCCCGTCTCAGCGGCCCCGCCGCCCTTCACTGCGGCCCCGCCGCCTCTCTCGCTGCGGCCCCGCCGCCCCTACTCAGCGGCCCCGCCGCCCTTCACTGCGGCCCCGCCGCCTCTCTCGCTGCGGCCCCGCCGCCCTACTCAGCGGCCCCGCCGCCTCGCTCGCTGCGGCCCCGCCGCCCTTCTCAACGGCCCCGCCGCCCTACTCAGCGGCCCCGCCGCCCCTTCTACTGCGGCCCCGCCGCCCTTCTCAGCGGCCCCGCCGCCCTTCTCAGCGGCCCCGCCGCCCTTTACCAGCGGCCCTGCCGCCCCTTCACTTCGGCCCCGCCGCCCCTTTCACCAGCGGCCCTGCCGCCCTACACCGCCCGCGCCGCCCGAGCCGCCCGAACCGCCCGAGCCGCCCGAGCCGCCCGAGCCGCCGGACTCTCTCCGAGCCGCCCGAGCCGCCCGACCAGCCTGAGCCACCCGAGCCGCCCGAGCCGCCCGACCTGCCCAAGCCGCCCGAGCCGCCCTGACTCTCCGAGCCGCCCGACTCTCCCGAGCCGCCCGAGCCGCCCGACCAGCCCGAGCCGCCCGACCGCCCGAGCCGCCTAAGGAGCCGAGCCGCTGGTGCCGCGGAGCCGCAGTTGCTGCTGAGCCGTCCGAGCAGCCGTGTTGCCGTGTTGCTGTACTACTGAGCTGCGCGAACTGCCCTGTCTGGTGAGAGCAGCGCTTCTATCACTGCACTGCCCCTGTCCTACAGTTGGTACTGCTAGTCTACTGTTGTCATGGCTACCCCTAGTGTCCTCGCGTTTGACGCTGAGGGTCGAGCCATTGACTTTGAGGTCTGGGTCGACGACCTGCAGCTGTTCTTACAGTGCGATAGGGCAGACGGTCTCTCTCTCTTTGACCTCACCTCTGGCGCCTCTCCTGCCCCTGCTGCTGATGCTGACCCCACTGTTCGCTCCCAGTGGGCCACGCGCGATGCTGCTGCACGTCTTGCTGTGCGTCGCCACCTCCCTACCACTGAGCGCGCACACTTTAGTCAGTACAAGAGTGCTCAGACCTTGTACGACGCTGTAGTTGCGCGCTACTCTTCCCCTGCCACTGCTGCACTGAGCCGCCTCATGCTACCGTACCTCTTCCCTGACCTTGCTGCCTTTCCCACAGTCGCTGACCTCATGCTACCGCACCTCCGCCACTAGTGACACTCGCTACCGCGCCGCGCTTCCTGCTGAGTTCTGCGCCAAGAACCCCCCCCCCCCATGTACATCACTCTCTATTATATAGTCACCCGCCTCCCTGACTCCCTTCGTGTAGTCAGGGACCACTTCCTCTCAGTCTGTCCCACCACTCTCACTGTTGACCTCTTAGAGAAGGCCCTCCTAGCAGCGGAGAAGAGTATAGTCGCTGTAGGAGCCTCTCGTGGTGACCCTCGCACCCCCATCTTTGAGGGGTGTTCTCCTTCCCCCCTTTTGCCCTCTGTCGCCTCTGCCGCTGCGGCCGACCTCGTTGGTCTTGAGTCGGTCGGTGCGGCGTCTGCCCCTAGCGGGAGACGCCGCTCTGGCAAGGGCAAGGGGGGCAAGGGCGCGGGTGGAGCTAGCGGGGGCGGTGGAGGTGGCGGTGGAGGCGGCGGAGGGAGTGGGGGTGGCGGTGGGAGTGGTGGCGGGGGTGGAGGTGTCGGTGGCAGCAGTGGAGGCGGAGGCGGCGGAGGCGGCGGCGGTGCTAGCGGAGGCGGCGGTGGTGGCGGAGGTGGAGGAGGCGGTGGTGGAGGAGGTGTCGGTGGTCGGGGTGGCGCTTCGCAGCGGAGCAGCCCTGGTGGTGGTCAGCGCGAGCAGCAGCAGCAGCAGCAAGCAGCGTTCTCGGGACATTCCCCCCCCTCAGCAGCTCCGTGAGTGGTACGCGCAACGTCAGCGTGGTTGGGGTTTTGGTTCCGTACACCTACGTCCTTCGCTCCGGCGACCGCGCGGGTGAGCAGTGTGGGGGTGCCCACCCCACCCAGCGCTGCTTTGGTCGCCTGACGGACGCTTGGCGTCAGCAGTTCCCGGAGGCCAGTGAGATCCCCCGCTGGGGAGAGCTTTCTAGGGCAGGCGTAGCTATCTATGATCTTGACTTTGATGCTATCCTTGCTGCCATGTATGCTGTGACTATTAGTGATGAGGGTGACTGTTACCGGTGTTTCCCTGCCCGACCCGGGCATTGGTACTGCTGCTCTAGGTGCTGGTGAGGCTGCTGCTCTAGGTGCCAGTGCGTCTGCGCCCTCAGGTGCTGGTGAGTCTGCGCTCTCAGGTACCACGTCGGCTTCGGCCTCCCTCACCTTCACACTTGACTCAGGGGCTTCTCGCTCCTTCTTTCGAGACCGCACCACACTCACGCCGCTTGGTCGGCCGGTTGCGGTCTCCCTGGCAGACCCCTCTGGGGGTCCTGTCCTCTCTCACTTCTCCACTGTCCTCCCCGTGTCCGGCTGCCCCCTCTGGCACCTTGTGTGGTCTTTACCTCCCCTCGTTCTCTACGAACTTGGTGAGTGGTGATGACCTGCAGGATACGGGGGTTCACCAGTTTACTCCTGCGAGTCATCGGGTGACCCACTGCTCGGACGCTCGCACAGGCCGGCACCTGGCCACGTTTACGCGTCGGCCGGGGTCGAGCCTCTACACCCTGACCCCTGGGTCTCCTCCTGTCCCTGCGTCTAGCCAGGTAGCTGCGTCGGGTCAGGTGTTTGCTGCAGCGTCCAGGTCTGGTCCTGAGTCTGCCCCCTGCTCGTGTCGCCTCCTGTCTCACGAGACTCTCCTGTGGCACCACCGTCTTGGTCACCCCTCCCTGCCTCGTCTCCGAGGCATGGCTTCCCGTTTCCTTGTCTCTGGTCTCCCCCGGTCCCTCCCTCCCCTTCCTCCCGGGCCTGGTCCTTCCTGTGTTCCCTGTGTCGAGGGGCGGCTCCGGGCTGCCCCTCACTCCTCTCAGTTTCCCCCGACAGAGGCCCCGCTGCAGACGCTTCACATGGACGTGTGGGGCCCAGCCCGCGTCCTTGGACAAGGTCATGAGTGTAATTATTGTTGGTGGTTGATGACTACTCGCGTTACACCTCAGTCTTCCCCTTGCGCAGCAAGGGTGATGTCGCTGAGGTGTTGATCGACTGGATCCGCGCAGCTTGTCTCCAGCTCAGGAGGAGCTTCGGCTCGGACTTTCCTGTTCTGCGTCTGCACTCTGACCGAGGCAGAGAGTTCTCCTCTGGCCTTCTGCGAGCCTTCTGCCGTGCGCGAGGCATCCGCCAGACCTTTACGCTTCCTGGACTCTCCACAGCAAAATGGGATTGCTGAGCGCCGCATTGGCATGGTCATGGACGTCGCTCGTACGTCCATGATGCATGCGGCTGCCCCCCATTTTCTGTGGCCGTTTGCGGTTCGGTACGCGGAGCATCAGATCAACCTTCACCCCAGGGTCTCCATGCGGAGACCCTCCCTAGCTCTGCAGTGGACGGGGAAGGTAGGCGATGCGTCTGGGTTCCGTGTCTGGGGATCTTGGGCGTTTGTCCGCGACTTGTCTGCGGATAAACTGTCCCCTCGTGCTGCTCCTTGTGTCTTCCTTGGCTTCCCCCCTGACGCACCAGGGTGGCAGTTCTACCACCCCTCCTCTCGTCGTGTTCATGTCCTCCCAGGACGTCACGTTTGACGAGTCGGTCCCCTACTACCGTCTCTTCCCCTACCGCACTCCTTCCCTCCCCCCGCCGCCGCACTTCCTTGTGCCAGGTCCCCCCCAGGTAGACCCCCTCCCCCCTCAGGGTCCTGCACCTTCAGGTGTGTCCCAGGTAGACGCAGTCGAGCCGGTCGAGGTTGCTGGTGACTCTGGTACTGCTGCGGGTGCTGAGCCTGGGGGTGCTGACTCTAGGGGTGCTGCGCGAGTGGGTGCTGAGCCTGGGGGTACTGAGCCTGGGGGTGCCACGTCTGGGGGTGCTGAGCCTTGGGGTCCTTCGCCTGGGGATGCTGCGTCTAGGAGCTGCTGAGCCTGGGGGTGCTGCGTCTGGAGCTGCTGAGCCTGGGGGTACTGAGTCTGGAGCTGCTGAGCCTGGGGGTGCGGAGCCCGCGGCCGCTGGACCTGCTGGTGTGGCGTCTGGCGGTATTGGGCCTGGTGGTTCTCCGGGTTGCTTCGTCTCGGCGGGAGCCACTCTCTCCACAGGAGCTGCGCGAGTGGTTTGCCCGGCGCTGGAGGCGTACTGCTGGAGCTGGTGCTTCTTCGGCTGCTGAGGGTGCTGGTGCCGCCGGTCTCGGAGGTGCTAGCCCTGGGAGTGCTGGAGCTGCTGGGCCTGCGAGTGCGACTGGAGTCGGAGCTGCTGAGGGTGTTGGCGCTGAGGCTACTGCTGTCAGTTCCTAGCGGCGGTCCTGCTGCGGGTGCTGCTGGTGCTGCTGGAGGTACTGGAGCTGGAGGTGCTGTTGGCGCTGGTGCTGCCACTGGGGGTGCTGGTGCTGTCCCTGCTGTGTCTGGAGTCGCCGCGCGGCCTCGGCCGTACTTTGTTCCGCTCCTTCAGCAGGCTCTTGGTCTTCCTCCTCCCTTAGAGTGTCCACCTGCCTGTCCAGTCACGGTCACAGTTACCGCCGGCCTCCCCACTGCCTGCTCCTTCTCCCTACACTGGTCCTCCTGCAGGTCTTGCTGAGCGTCGTGAGCCTGCGTCTCCTCCTGCGTCGCCTGTTCGTGCTGCTCGCGCTAGTGGTCGCGGTTCGCGTCAGCGTCCTCCTCCTGTCCCTGGCACGCACCGGATGTCTCTGCCTCCGTCCACTGCTCCTCTGCGTGCCCCTTTGCCTTCTCCTCCTGAGTCCTCTCTTTCTGCCCTTGCCGACCCGGAGTCGGACTCTCTTCGTGCTGCCAGTCCTACTGTCACGTGTCTCCTTGCTACTGTCGTCACTGACCCCTCTATTGAGTCCACTGCTGCGTCTTCTCTTGTTGCTGAGCTCGTCGACTTTGCTGTTCGCTGTCGTCTAGACTACGCTGCTAGTCTCGTTGCTGAGTCTACGTCTGTCTGTCCTCCGTCCGTCGGGGGTGAGTGTGCTCTTGGCACGGACGTCCTTGAGGACAGGCAGGATGAGTTCCAGTGTCTGGCTGCTGCTTCACCTCATCTCGTGTCCGTACTGCTTACCCCTGAGGGAGACCCGGATGCACTTGACATCCCGACTCCGCGCTCTTACGCGGAGGCGATAGAGGGTCCCTACTCCTTCTCAGTGGCAGGCAGCTATGGATGCAGAGATGGCTTCCTGGAAGTCCAAAGGCACCTACGTTGACGCGGTTCCCCCACCTGGGGCGAACATCGTCAGTGGCATGTGGATCTTCAGGTGTGAAGCGGCCGCCGGGCTCTCCGCCTGTCTTCAAGGCGCGGTAAGTGGCTCGTGGCTTCAGTCAGCGGCAGGGAGTTGACTACTTTCAGACCTTCTCTCCCACCCCGAAGATGACCACTCTTCGGGTACTGCTACACATAGCCGCTCAGCGTGACTACGAGCTTCACTCCCTTGACTTCAGCACTGCTTTCCTGCAGGGTAGCCTGCACGAGGTGATCTGGCTGCGCCGTCCACCTGGCTTCACTGGGACTTTCCCTCCTGGCACCCAGTGGAGCCTCCGACGGCCAGTCTACGGTCTCCGCCAGGCACCGCACGAGTGGCACGACACACTGAGGACTACGCTTGCGGCTCTTGGGTTTGCTCCCTCTACTGCTGACCCGTCGCTGTTTCTACGCACCGACACCTCTTTGCCGCCGTTCTACATCCTCGTGTACGTCGACGACTTGGTCTTTGCCATTGCTGACACTGGTGGACTCGCCCACGTGAAGTCCGAGCTGCAGAAGAGACACACGTGCACAGACCTGGGTGAACTGCGCAGCTACCTTGGCGTGCAGATCACCCGGGACAGAGCACGCCGCACCATTACCCTGACTCACTCACACATGGCGCAGCAGGTCCTTCAGCGCTTCCGCTTCACGTACTCCTCGCCTCAGGCCACTCCTCTGCCTACTCGCCACTCGCTCTCAGCTCTGCCTTCGGATGAGTCCGTAGAGTCGAGTGGCCCGTACCCAGAGCTTGTTGGCTGCCTCATGTACCTGATGACCTGCACACGACCTGACCTTGCATACCCTCTTAGCATTCTTGCACGCTATGTTGCTCCTGGGAGACACAGACCAGAGCACATGGCTGCAGCGAAGAGGGTGTTGTGTAGTTGTGCAGTACGTCGGGCATGGGGCTAGTGCTTGAAGGGCAGAGTCCAGTGGTCCTCACTGGGCACGCAGACGCTTCTTGGGCTGACGACCAGGCTACGCAGCGGTCGTCACAGGGTTACACCTTCAGCCTTGGTTCCGGCTCTGTTTCGTGGCGGGCTACTCGCTCGTCTTCTGTTCTCGGCTCCAGTTGTGAGGCCGAGATCTACGCCGGGGGCCATGGCTGCACAGGAGCTTCGCTGGCTCACCTACCTGCTGACCGACCTTGGAGAGCCGCCTCGTTCTCCTCCAGTCCTGTACGTAGACAACAAGGCCATGCTGGCCTTGTGTCGAGAGCAGAGACTGGAGCACATAACAAAGCACATTGCTCTTTGCTACTTCCTTGCTCGTGAGCTACAGCAGCGTGGTCAGTTGCGGCTTGCGTACGTGGCCTCTGAGGCCAACACTGCTGATGTTTTCACCAAGGCACTTGCGCCTTGTGATCATCAGCGCTTCTGTACTCAGCTTGGTCTTGTGCCTGTCTTGCCTCACTTGCTCACTTCTTGACCTTGCTTGTACTGTCACATATATATCCACCTGCTCTTGTTTGCTTAGCCTCTTATATATATATATAAATGCTCCTGCATGTGAACTGGCCTTCTAGCCTTGAACTTGTGCTCGGAATGTGTGGTGACTTTGTGATCCACCCTGAGCTTTGCTTTGCTTTGCTTGACTGGTCTTGTGACCCCTTGTTCTCCCCCACTTTGCCTATGGGGGTGTGTCAAATTATAATGTTGTCTAGGCTTTAGTGGGGTAGCCCATATGGGGTACACATTTCTAGGGTTGCATATTTGTATCTCTTTCATTCCATAGTCATTCATTCTCGTTCTACTTTCCTCATTCGTCATCGCTGCCCCGCTGAAGAAGGCTGTCGAGCTCCCTGGTCAACGGCATCACCACAGTGATTCCCTGCAACTCGACGAAGCCCGTCGAGAAGCTCCCTCACTGTGAACAGTCGGCTTCTTCTCCCGTACATCCGACCAAGTCGTCGGCGTTGCCCAAGCAAGGGTGGGGCCAACACCCCCGTTAACACTCCCGCCTCTTGATCATTAGCGACTCTGTACACATCTTGGCCTTATCGTAGAAGGACCTCATTTGTTACGATCTTGATCTATGTACATTGTTGTTTGAACTGTTTTTGTCTGGTTATACTTATTGATTGGCCTTGTGACCCATTAGCTTAGAGGATGGGCTAGTAGTACCGCCCTGAGTTGTACCTCATACACATTGTTGTTCTTGCTAAAAGTATTTGTGATCAATTGCCTTAGAGGCTGGAGTAGTAGTGACGCCCTGAGTCGTTTCCCATTTTCTAGGGACCGCCCCTTATCTAGTATTGGGGAGTGTCAACATACGCATATACATTTGCATGTGCATTCTTTAGGCTAGGTTAGGTTGCACTACAGAGGGTACAAATTTGCTCGATATACCCCCTCTTTGTATGTTCTCATCATTGATCCACTTTCTGACAAGAACGACCACGAATTTAAGCAAGTGTAGTAAACAAACCAGCCACACAACAGGAATGGAGCTGAGTTACAGATATGGAGTATAGAGATGAACATCGTGGAGTACTGGTGAAAGAGAGTAATGGGAGCGAGGAATAGATGCGGTAAGGAAGCGACCGGAACAAGGGTAGTGAAGTGTGAAGGGAGAGGGAGCGATGGAGCTGGGAACGAATGGGTGAACAAGCGAGATAGCAACGAGCGAGGGGAGAGGGAGCGGCGGAAGCATTGCTACCGATAGGAGAGAACGTCAAGGGAGGCACACGACGACAGGAGGGACGAAAGCACAAGATGAATGCGTCAAAGGTAGTGGCGGGAGAGGAGAGAGGAAGCGATAGGAGCAGCGGAGCGATCTAGTAAGGAGTGACAGGCAAGGGGATAGGGAGGATAGGAGTGTCGAGAGAGAAGCGAGGGAGAGGCAAGAGCGATGAGAGGGAGAGGTGGGAGCGATGGGAGGGAGAGGTGAGAGCGATGGGAGGGAGAGGTGGGAGCGACGCGATGGGAGGGAGAGGTGGGAGCGACGCGACGGGAGGGAGCGGCTGGAGGGACGGGAGGGAGAGGCGGGAGCGACGAGAGGGAGAGACGGGAGCAACGGAAGGGAGCGGTTGGAGTGACGGGAATGAGAGCGGCGGGAGGCACAGGATGGAGAGGCGGGAGCAACAAAAGAGGGAGACGGGAGCAATGGGACGGAGCTTGTGGGAGCGATGCGAGGGAGAGATGGGAGCGAAGGGAGGGAGAGACGAGGGAGGGAGAGACAGGAGCGACAGGAGGAATGCGACAGATGGAGCGACGGACGAGGAGCGAGGAAGCATGGAACAACGAGAGCAGAGCGAGGGTAGCGTTGAGATCAATGGAAGGGAGGGAGCGATATGAATAAGGAAGAGCTGTTAAATCATATTCTCTATATTGTTATTGCATGTAGCAGTAGTTAACGTAGCTAGTTACAAAATCTGTTGGTGGTGTACCTCTTGCCCTGCCTTGCCTCCGGTATTTGTTCTCCTATCTCGATAGTCAAGCCCTTCTTGCTCGCTTCTTGCTCTCGCTACTCTTCCTAGACCAAGTCCTAAGAGCCACCATTTCATTAGAGCAACCTGAGGGAGGGGAGCAGTGATACAGTTGGGTGAGAGATAAGGAGGTGGAAGAAGCAAACGCGCTGTGGCTCCTCTGCTGGGGTGGTATGTTTGCTGGTTCATGAGGAAGGCACAGCTGTCGGTTTTAGATGAAGCAACAAATACAGGGAAAAAAAAAATCGGAGTAAAACCCCGAGTCGGGGTCATTTTGGACGAAGGTTTCTTCTAACCAAACACATCATCGGTGTTGTGAGTGTTTCAATTACTAAAAGCATGAAGCTAGTTGCCAAACGCATGAAAAAACAGTGTAATGGTTGTGAAAAAGGACTAGTGAGCGTTAGGCTTAGGAGCCATAGTAAGTTGGGTAGGAGCGATTGAGCTCGAGTGAGTTTGGGAAAGTCGAGAAGTTTCAACAAAAAGAGGAGGTTTCACTATAGAGCGAGGAGTACAAATAGGCAAGAAGAAAGGTGCACCACCAAACAGAACATTATATAACTACAGTAGTCTACACTACAGGCAGTTACAAAATAATATATAGAAATATATATTATTCTTGACACGCCCCCATAAGTGCCTGTAGGGAAGAATATGCAGTCAACGCCCCCATAATGGGGTACACCAGACAGGCCGCAGCGGAAATCATAGCAACAGGCAAGTGCTAGTGGCAACCGGTGCAGTGATGGCAGATCCAGCTGTACCAACCCCTTTACCAAGGTAAAAACAGTAGCAGGTGTTGGGGCGGCAGGTCGCCTGAGGAGCAGGCTCTGTGGCTGCAACATGCAGCAGGACAGCAGCGGCTCGACGGCAGCACCTGCAGGCCCCAGCAGTAGGTAGCAGAAACAAGGACAACAAAAGGTAGGTGGTAGCAGGGGCGGCAGCTGGAGGTGCCACGGCAGCAGCGGGCTGTCAGCAGCAGATGACCGGCTGACTTCCGTCGCCCCCTCACTCCCCCCCCCACAGCGGCACGTGCGGCAGTGAGAGAGAGAGGAGGGGCGGCAGCTTCTATGCTCACACCCGCCTCCCCAAAACCTCCCCCCCCACACTGTCTGCACCGTCGCTTGCGTGGCAACTGCCAGTGGTAGCAGCGGTATGTTCGACGGTGAGGGCGGGGCAGGGGGCGCGTTCGGCGACGTAAGTAGCTCGGCCGCCACACCCGCCGTCTCCCCCCAAAGCGACCGTCGATGCAGACGCTCGGGGCCGCGACATGGCGTGACGAGGTTGCAGGAGGGCGCGAAGGGGAGGCGACTGGGCCGCCGACTGGGGCCGCGACGAACAGCACTAAGCCCGCCACGCTGGACTTCGTAAGCTTCACGAATAGCGGCCGAACGGGCACTTTTGGGCCGCGACGAGCGCCATGGCAGGAACGATAAGCGGTGGGCCCATGGGAAAAAAAAATCAGGTCCTAGGATAGGAACCTCACTCTGATATCATGTGAAAAAGGACCAGTGAGCGTTAGGCTTAGGAGCCATAGTAAGTTGGGTAGGAGCGATTGAGCTCGAGTGAGTTTGGGAAAGTCGAGAAGTTTCAACAAAAAGAGGAGGTTTCACTATAGAGCGAGGAGTACAAATAGGCAAGAAGAAAGGTGCACCACCAAACAGAACATTATATAAACTACAGTAGTCTACACTACAGGCAGTTACAAAACAATATATAGAAATATATATTATTCTTGACAATGGTTAGCGCAAGCGTTATGGGGCCCTATTTGTGTTACCATTCTAATACTTTCCCCTTCTCTAACTCTGAATACAAAAGCAGGCTCAGAGTAGCCACATTGCAGCATAAGTACCATTAGATTAAAATTAGAATAAAATAGGGGTCAACATTAGAGTGCCATATTGTTGAAAACATCAGCCCTTCTCAACACTATTTGCTCTCTATACTACTGATGCTCAGGGCAGTTTATGTTCTTCGGCACTCTGTGAGGCCTGGGAGGCGCCGGAGAGAAGTCACACGTAGGTTAAATACGTAGGTCACACGCATTTACTGCTTGTCAGCTAGTAGGTTGGTGCTTTGGGAGTGATCCCAGGGGGAAATCCAGACTGGATATGCAGCTCAGCCGGTGATGCTAATGCAGCTCAGCCGGTGATGCTAATGCAGCCGCTTCCTTCCTTTCCCCATGCCTCGGCTCCTCAGCAATCCGAAGCTGCTTCCGAGCCTGCTCCTTCCCACCAAGCCATTGGTACTTTCAATCCCACCGACTGAGCTCCCACCAAGCATCCCTCCCAACCCCCCTCCTCCCAACCCCCCTCCTCCCAGCCCCCCTCCTCCCAGCCCGCCTCCCAACCCCCTCCTGTACCACCCCCTGAACTCCCCCCTGTGTCATATGGAGGGGCGATGCATGTGAGGCAGAAGGAGGGGCAGATGCGGCCGCAAAAGTCGTTGGGATAAGGTCCAGAGCCCAGCGTCTTGAGCTGGGAGGAGCAGTTGGTGCCGTCAGTGGGGCATGTGAGCGTGCTGTCCACCATTCTGCGAGAGGCAAGACCGTGGGTGGGTGACGGGGTGGAAATGTGAGCCGATATTGAAGTCGACTTAATGCTGTCAGCGGGGCATGTGAGCATGCTGTCCACCATTCTGCGAGAGGGCGATTCCCACGGGGGGTAACAGAGGGAAGGGTGCAGGGTTGCTGTGAGGAGAGCACATTGGGCTCGAGGTGCTTTTGAGTAAATTGTTATTTTGAGACATCTCAAAATGACACTTATATCACCTACAGGGTTGCTGTGAGGAGAGCACATTGGGCTCGAAATGTCTTTTGAGTCGACTAAATAGCCACCTGGGGAGGTGACTTTGAGCTACTTAAATTGCCACCTCGTAGGGTATTTTGCAATCCAGGATCGACAACTGCCAGGTGGAGAACCCAGGGTGCACTGCCATGCCATGGGGGTGCACTCCATGCCATGGGGGTGCACTGCCATGCCATGGGGGTGCACTGCCATGCCATGGGGGTGCACTGCCATGGGAGCACACGAGTTAAGTCACCAGGAAAAGCTCAAGATTTTGAAAACTCTTGCACGCGAATCCTTAGCGGTTTGCACCTTACCGGTTTTGCACCTTACCGGTTTGCACCTTAGCGGTTTGCACCTAAGCAGTCTGCCACCTTAGCGGTTCGCACCTAAGCAGTCTGCACCTTAGTGGTTCGCATTTGTTCGCACCTTAGTGGTTCGCATTGCACACTCACATTTCTGTACTGAAGTCGCCAAGATAGGCTGGAAGCTCCCCTTCAAAACTGGTTCTCCGACAAAAACCTGTGTTACGTGAGATTGCATGAGAAGTTGAAGGGATGTGAAAAAACTGGGTAACACGAAAAACAGAGGTTCTCGGAGATGTTACAAGGATCAACAGTGTTCAAACAGCAAGCTATTATTACAGCAAGTTGGCTCGTGCCAGATTACATCCTTACAGTGCCCACATGGACCAGTTGAAAGCAGAGGAGGCAGAGGTCCTGAGAGGTTGTTGCGCCGCATGTCACTGAAAGAAGGACGCAACAGGGAAAAGCAAGAAGAGGTTGATTCTTTAGACGCCTCCAGATAGAAATGCTGGATTGCCCCAATTCTCATGCCCCCATTTCCATGCCCCCAACTCACATGCCCTCCCGACTCACATGCCCCAACTCCCACGCCCCAACTCACATGCCCCAGAGGTTTGTTAACAGTGATATGGACGCAGGAAGAGACCCTGTCAAGTTGTTGCCTGCAATGTAGCTGAAAGGACACGGGACAGAGGAGGGGCAAAGGATGGGGCAGAGGCAGGATAGATGAGGGATAGATGAGGGACAGAGGAGGGGCAGATGAGGGACAGAGGAGGGGTAGAGGCAGGATAGATGAGGGACAGAGCCAGGGGACAGAAGAGGAGTGTCAGGGCATCTCCGAAGCGTCCATGGATCATAAGCCACTACAGTAACCCGCAGGTTTGAGTGAAAGCGTTATTTTAGACAATTTGTGGACACGAACACCACATGACCAGAAATAATGTACATGGGCTACACGAGCGCTGAGTCGTTACAGATTATGCGCAACGCACATTGAAGGCTTCTCTGTGCATACAAGCCGCATCTTGAAATAAAAGTGTTTTTGAGACGTCTCAAAAACACCCTCATTTCACAACGCCCATTGAAGGCCTCTCTGTGCATACAAGCTTTTGAGGCGCCTCAAAAGTCATTTCGCAACGCACATTGAAGGCCTCTCTGTGCATACAAGCTCGCATCTGTGCCACTGCCGTGTTTGTTTCAGTGAAGAACATGCACGCAGCATTTCGTCTGAGGAATTACAGCATCTCAGAAGGGGGAAGCTTACAGGGTTCCCAAGGCAGTTAGAAGGCCGATGGACCCTGGGATGCTTCACTGATGCTGTTGTTGTTCAGCTCGCTGCACTTGTGCAAAATTGCAACGAGAATGAAACCCAGGATTTCGTCGTTCATATAGATGGCACAATTTGAAACGCAGAAAAGGCAAACAGAAACAGCAAGTCTTGGCGAGAAAGCCCATACGTATAGCAGTCAGCCGATAGGATTTTTGAGACATCTAGAAGTTCCAACAGCAACGCATGCGTACATCCCTAAAGAGCTTGGAGAAGCTTCCGAGTGAAGAGGGCAGATAGCCGTTGATTCCTGTTGGCAGAGAGATCGCTGAAGGAGATCAGAGAGAAAAGGAGGGATAGGATGCATAGAGGACAGTGGGAGAGAAGAAAAGAAGGAGAGTAGGAGAGGAAACATGAGGGGAAAACAAAAGGGAAACGGCTATTAGGTGGTTACATGAGATAGTGGGAGCCTCCTACTAATAGGAGAAATTAGGAGCTTCCATCATGCTTACATCATGGTAAGAGCTGAGAGGTTGGCGAGGAAAGGTGGGGAATGAGCCGCGAGAGCGGATTGTTGGACAAGGTGCTGCAGGAAGAGGAAGAAGAGGAAGGAGAATTTTGAAGTCAAATCAAAAGAGAGCTGGTTGTTGGCCAAGGTGATGCAGGAAGAGGAAGGAAAAAGAATACAGAGAGGAACATATGGAGGACTAGTCCCATGGGTTCCCTGTCAAATCTTTGTTGGTTCGGTGTGAAGCGAAATCGAAATGGCGTTGGGTCACTTGGTCAGTTAGAAATAGAGTTGGGTCAGGTCAATTCGCCCCGGCATCGGGTCACAGCCAACGCGACCCCGTGTAAGATCGGGCCACAGCTAACTATACCCCTATAAGCTTGGGTCACAGCCAACCCTACCCCTATAAGCTCGGGCCACAGCCAACCATACCCCCTATAAGCTCGGGCCACAGCCAACCCGACTACAGGTCAACCCGACTCGACTACAGGTCAACCTGACCTGACCGTTCCGTTTACCCGGCTCGGGTTCAAGCAGATCAGTTCAGGGTCAGTTGGGTCGACCCGTTGCTCAAGTCTAAGCCTTACATGCTCTGAAGCGCTTGGAGCTGCGCAAGGGTGGGAGGCAGAGAGCCGTTGAGATTTGCAAACCTGATGTTGCTGCCAGCAGAGAAGGGTATGAAGAAGGAATTGTTGAACAAGGCGAACACAACTAGGTTGGAAAGTGTGAGAGAAGGGGTAGAGCTAATGGGAGTTGTGAAAAGCTGATGTTGCTGCAACAAGAAGGCATGGAAGAGGAACGGATGCGAAACACGGAGCGGTGGAATCTACTTGTGCGTGGGATGGTGTTGGTGGTGATGGTGCTGATGGTGTTGGTGGTGATGGTGTTGATGGTGTTGGTGGTGATGGTTTTGATGGTGTTGGTGGTGAAATATAGGCCATGGGAACAACATCATGCCATCTGACATGCTACATCATCATGAGTGATTTTAAGGATCCCATGGTTGACGGTAAACTCCCTGAAATGGGGTTGTAAGACAGGTCCCTGCTTCGTGCAGGGTGGTTGGTCGTTCATGGTAGGGGTGGGGAAGGGGGTTCGGGTAGTGCTAGGGTAAGAGGATTACATGGCAGCCAATGATCTGAGAAGGGAAGAAATATGAGAAACAAGAGTCGCCACGAGTATAGATGTGAGAGCACCAGCATGCTTTTGTACAAGGTGCATAGAAAGATCCCTATAATACAGGCTTACTGACATACTTTTGGCAGGTATATGTAAAGCACAACCAGTATTTTTATAAAGGCTTACACGACCATTTCCCTATGATACAGATCAGACCAGCGCGTGGCCCGGCCCATGCTCATGCTCCTCATGCCCAGCGTAACATCCAAGAGTTTCGAGATTGGGGAGATAGATAGTGGGGCATGTAATGTCCCACTCCAGCATGCATTAATCTTGGCTTCCTGTGGGGCATGTTGCGAAGCGTACAAGAATTTGAGGTGCTTCAAGGAGCCTATGCCACGAGGTATAGAGCCAGTGATCTGGTTGGCTCTCAAATTCCTGTATTATCATGTAATGGACACACCGTTCGCGGCCCCGCCGCCTCCTCTCCGTGTCAAACATTATATATGTTGTGTTAGTTTAGGCTACAGTGGGTTAGCCTATAGGGGTACACAATTTCTAGGGTTAGGTACTTGTACTCATTTTTCACCGCTAGTTCATCCATTCGTGTTCAGTGATTCCAACATAGTATAGAGCAGGTCCTTCCTAGGACCGAAATTTTCTAAGGGCCCACCACTACGTAACTACCTACCTACCTACCTACCCCTGTGCCCTAGGGCGCCCTCGGCGTGTCACGCCCCTAGAGGCCCCCTCTTTGACGGCCCCCGCGCTCTAGCCCCATTCAGGCCCCGTCGGCCCCACGCTCCGCTCTCCCTAGCGGCCCCGTTCAGGCCCCGTCGGCCCCTCTTTAAGGCCCCGTTCAGCCCCCGCGCTAGCCCCGTTAGGCCCCGTCGGCCCCCGTTTCAGGCCCCCGTCGACCCCGCGCTAGCCCCTCTCAGGCCCCGTCGGCCCGCGCTAGCCCCGATTTCAGGCCCCGTCGGCCCCGTTTCAGGCCCCCTCGGCCCCGTGCTAGCCCCTCTTAGGCCCCGTCGGCCGCGCTAGCCCCGTTTTCAGGCCCCGTTGGCCCCGTTTTTCAGGCCCCGTCGGCCCCGCGCTAGCCCCTCTCAGGCCCCCGTCGGCCCGCGCTAGCCCCGTTTCAGGCCCCGTCGGCCCCGCGCTAGCCCCTCTCAGCCCCGTCGGCCCCGCGCTAGCCCCATTCAGGCCCCTGATCGGGCCCGCGCTAGCCCCCGTTTCAGGCCCCGTCGGCCCCGTTTCAGGCCCCGTCGGCCCCGCGCTAGCCCCCCGTTCAGGCCCCGTCTGGCCCCTTGCTAGCCCCGTCAAGGCCCCGTTTGGCCCCGCGCTAGCCCCGCTCAGGCCCCCGATCGGCCCCGCTGCTCGCCCCCTCTAGGGCCCCAACTGGCCCCATGCCGACCTCGCCGACCCGTGCCCCACCACCTAGAGGCCCCGGGCGGCCCGTTCCCGCCGCAGCACACGAGGGAGAGCGAGGCGGCCCGTCCCCCGCTGTGACCCCCGAGCGCGCGACCCGAGCCGCGCGCCCCGAGCCGAGCCGCGCGCCACGAGCGAGCGCGCGCCCTGAAACCGAGCCGCGCCACCCAACCGAGCCGCGACCCGACCGAACCGAGCCGCGCCGCCCTGCCCTTACCTGGTTCGT